CCTCCCATTAGTAGTATAAAACAAAGTAATACAAGTTCTAGTATATATAACAGAGTTTGTAGACGCTACAACTTTCACGCAAACCAATCATTATACACCTATTGTGATTTTTTTTTTTTTTCTACCAAAGACGTTTAGCAGAATACATATTGGCCTACATTTTATGAAGAAATTTTTGATTTTTAAATTTAGTTTTTTTATTGCATGTAAATTGTATAAACTTTATTTGGGTACAGCGTTGCATGACCACGCCATTACCAGTTAAAGTAGCACTGTGCTGAATAGCAAAAAATGGTCTGGTCATGAAGGGGGGTAAAACCTTCCAGAACTGAAGTGGTTGATATTCAAGAACTCAGTTGTGGATTATACCATGCAATCCAAAAACAAACGAAACTAGCGCTCAAATCTTCATACAGACTAAATGGTATTCTGAATGCCAAACGGTGAGGTGCAGCCCTTCTACGATTGGGAAATCTGGGTACTGGTGAACAAAAGCAGACAAGGGCGCACTCTCATCGTGCATTACCGTGATATACCATGTATTTATTAAGAAAACAAATATATACTCACAAACCCAAAAGAGAATAAAAACAGAACAGGTAGTCCACGATGACAGACCAGTGCAATAATGTGCCCTGCATAGGGATAACTGACGCGTTTCGGGTGACGAACCTTCTTCAGGGGGTTCGTCTCCCGAAATGCGTCAGCTTATCCCTATGCAGGGCGCATTATTGCATTGGTTTTATTCTCTTTTGGGTTTGTGAGTATATATCTTTTTGTTTTCTTAAATACGTGGTGTATCACGGTATCACCAGTAAGTGGATTATACCATGTTCTCTTTGACAATCCACAGCGAACACTTGCTATGGATGTGTTGTTCATTAAAGAAACTGCAAAGATATGCACCATAAACTGCATATCAGCCATCCATTTCCTATTGTTTCTGTGTATGTATGTATATATTGCTGAAGCCTGGGAAGTTAGACTGGGTCTGAGGTAACATTATGATAGCGAGGTCGTAGTTTATTCTTGGAATAAAGGTGCAGCTGGAGTTTTGCCCACACTCACATGCAGAAAGGATGTAAACACTAGAGATTAGGGAAGAGCCAGCTGCCATCCAGATGTGCCGTTAGTACAAAAGCATAAAATAATAATAACATACAAGTGCATACACTATAATGTGTCAGCGTGGTTCTCTGCATGTGGAGCACATTATTATTATTATACAGGATTTATATAGCGCCAACAGTTTGCTCAGCGCTTTACAATATAACGGGAGACAATACAGCAATAATACAGTGCAATACAAGACGGATAGGAGGGCCTGATCCTGGGAGCTTACAATCTAAGAGGGAGGGGCTAGTAGTACAAAAGGTAGTAACTGGGGGGGATGGACTGGTAGGAGGAATAGAAGATTTCATTATTAGCTGAGGGCAGGATAGGCTTCCCTGAAGAGATCGCCTAAAAGTCAGCAGAGTAGGCGATAGTCTGATAAATTGGGGTAGAGAGTTCCAGAGGATGGGGAAGCTCTGGAGAAGTCCTGGAGATGAGCATGGGAGGAGGAGACAAGGGAGCTAAAGAGCAGGAGGTCGTGCGAGGAGCGGAGAGTACGGTTTGGGTGATATTTAGAGACAAGATTGGTGATGTAATTTGGGGCAGAGTTATAAATGGCTTTATATGTTATGGTTAATGTTTTGAAAATTATAGGTACACATCCATTAAATCCCATCCCATTCATCAATGGCCAGGCCAGGAACTTGCACTGTGGGATGCTGGGTGGGTCGTGTTTATGCTTCTATGCAACTTTTAAGAATCATTTGTGTAGGCAGTTTGGAAAGCCGGCATGAAAAGCATGTTTTGTTGCCTGTTGGTGCTTACTCAGTGTTCACATGTCTTGTTACTGTTTGTTTTTGTTTTTTTTTTTCCTACTCCTGATGAACGTTTTTTGTTTTTCTTTTGAGCTTTATAAACTGGTGTTGTTGCATTGATAGGCCTGTTAATGTCAGGCTTGCCTGAAGATTTAAAATCTACAGAAAGTTGAAGAAGTTCACAAGGAAGTTTTTCTGTCTGAGTAAGAAGTGTTTATGGAGGGAGGGCAGTGTAGCTCTGCAACTCCTCAGACAGGCTGTTTACCAGAGAGGGACAAAGACCCTCTCATTCACTAGTAGCAAGTCAGCACAACTCCATAGAAGAACTCTGTGTGAAGAAATTCAAGTTCTCTTTTAATAAAATAACACAAACTGGCCTTAAAGAGGACCTTCTGAAAATGTGTATGTGCTCAGGCCTGGGGGGGCACAAATGAAGGGATCGGGGGCGGACTGACCATTTGGAAACTCGGGCACTGCCCGAGGGCCCGAGATTAGTAGGGGGCCCCATGAGATGCCCCTGGTACCTTTTTCATAGGCTTTTTAGAGTTTGGGCAAGGACACAGGGGCCCCATGATCCCCTATTGCCCAGGGGCCCCGTGAATTGTCAGCCCGCCCCTGGAAGGGATATATTCACCTTTCAACAAAAAATAATAAATGTACATTTTTTTTTTGCAGGTAAAAAAAAAATGTGTTTTTTACTATTTTTTGTTGTAGGAGCATGTAAAGCATTTCACCAGCAATCAGCAGATGGCTGATGTAACGCAGGTTTCCTGCAGATCTGTCATTGTATCTGTGTGCTCGTACCTTGTACAGGCGGGCCGATACTTAGTGACAGGAGGAATCCATGAACTATCACAGTGATCACAGCGCTGTGGTTGTCCTTTGAGAACTACAGGCCGACAGCCACAAAGGATGTTAGGACTTGTAGTTTCTCATTCATAGAATACTGTGAAGGATGTGGGTGGAGCCCTGCATGGCTGCGATTTTTTTTTTTTTTTTTTTTTTTTTTTTTTTTTTTTTTTTTTTTTCCACTTAGCTGTCAAAACAGGGGAGTGGGGGCTGATCATTTTATACACCCTGAATATGGTGAAACATATAACATGTTATGAAAAGCAACTTCTCCTTTAAAAGAAAAATCGCAAGGCAGGCAGTCTGCTCTGGGAGTCTGCAAGCTTCTTTTAAAGAACAAATTAAAAAAAATGGACTACTGATTTACAGATGTATAATAAGTAGCGGTTGAAATCTTACAAATAAAAATGACAAACTCATTTACCTCTTTTACATGCAATTGGAGAGCATCTAGCAAAGAGCCCTAAATGCAGCATTGTGAAAAACGGTGTGACTGCGCCCCTCCAAAAAATATTGTGTTGTCTAGCAGAGCTACAGTTTATATAGGGCTCAATAAAACCTGATGATGTATCATGGGAGGTTTTTTTGTTTTTGTGTTTTTTTTTTTTTTTTTTTTTTTTTTTTTCATGATTCAAACCTTGAAGGGCTGGATATGTTTACATTCAGGAGTAACCATGCAAAGCCCTGATTATTTTAGATAAAAAATGTTCAGTGGAAAGCTGTCTGTGGGACTAGTACATTTTCAACAAAGGAGCTGCGTTTCCTTATATGCCAAAGCTGCATGATCTCATGGGGTTGATTTACTAAAACTGGAGCGTGCACAATCTGGTGCAGCTGTGCATGGTAGCCAATCAGCTTCTAACTTCAGCTTGTTCTATTAAGCTTTGACAATAAAACCTGGAAGCTGATTGGTTTCTATGCAGAGCTGCACCATATTGTGCACTCTCCAGTTTTAGTAAATCAACCCCAATGTGTCTGGGGACAGTCGGCCCTCTGTAAAGAAGCCCATGCACAGGCACAACCCTCATAGCAAACTATACGCAGAGCTGACAATCAAAGCTTTAGTGGAGCTGAGGGGCTGCTGACCTACGATCCAGGGGCTGACTTTGGTTTATTGATCAATAACAATCCAGCAATCCAGTCCTGCCATAGACATTAGATTTTGTCCAATATAAAAATAAATAACTAGAACAGATGACTGTCATTATAATGTATAGATCACTTTTGTATAGTGCAAACAGTTTGGAACGTTAATAGGCAACAAGTTCTACTTTGATAATGTTTATTGTTGTAAAAATAAAGTATTTATCTTGGAAGGCAGAGCGGCTGTCAGAATACAACAGCCAGCAGGGGAGATTCTTCTCCATCCACACTGTCGGTGTGGATTGAGGAATCAAGTGCTATCTCTTGTTAACCCCATCGGACTCTGAAATCCACGTGTGTATGGATAGCCTTACCTAACCCTCCTAAATATTTACCTAAGCATTAGAGTTTCCCTCACAGAACATATTTCATTTAGCCTACAGCCACTATTTACTTTTCATTCTGTTGTTAAAATGACGCAATAGAAGAACTATCTTCATTCCTCTCACCACTGATATCAGCTAACCCTCAGACAACACAGACAGATATGGGGGTCAGACAGAAAACACCATTACTGCTCAACCTCACAAATCATAGGCCTTATCAGAACTGACAAAGCAGAGGGCAACACATTCTACGTGGGAAGGTTAGAGTAAAAATATGGCCCATTGTGTACAAATGATGTAGAGATAGTCATTGCATACCAGGGTGTTGCCTACCAGGGTAAAGGAGATAACCTTGCAAAATACAACAGACAAGGAAGCATAAAGTCAGCCATAGATGATGTGATTTTCTTTCCTGCAACCACGGGATGGGAGCCACTGGCAATAATCACATGACAAATCTGACACTTGTACCCAAGTCATACAAAAATTGAATTGGGTATATTAAGCCTGCCCATACAGGGTTCGAACCTTGGCTGAGATTCGAACCATCTATGACCAGCTTAAGAAATGACTGTATACTAAAGCACAAATCACGAAGGTAACTTATAATTGGTCTTATTTACCCAAAGTGTGTTGAGCACTGTCCCATCTTATTTTGTGTATCAGCTTTGTAAGAGCAGGGCTGAAGTGCAATATATTTTTTGGTTTTTTTGTTTTGAAATCGTAGATATTTCTGAAATGTCACTACTACCCTGATGTGTTGATATGTGAGGTGATCATACAGAAGAGCTAATTTATTTCTGTTTTCTTCAAGGTCCAAGTGCCCCCAGTAGTCAAAAGGCCAGTTCATCTGCCCCAGGCGATTTCTCTCCACCTTGTAGCCCCAACCCATCAAAGAAAGGAGGAAGCATTAACTGGTCCCTCCCAGACAAAATTAAATCCCCACGGACTGTTCGTAAACTGTCTATGAAGATGAAAAAAAGCTACCGGAACTCAGCAGAAAGTTGAGTGTCAAAGGGACATCGAGCCACAGTAACTCTGACCAGTTGTCTTCCACTTCCAAAGGAAACTGTCAGGATGTAAGCCACGCACCATCTTTGTCGTCTGCTGGGCCGGCAGCCTCTGCCGCCAGTAGGAACGTCATCAGCCGATACCACCTCGATAGCAGCGTATCTTCACAGCAGAGCTACAAGAAAAAAAATTCAGGCACTTCCAAATCTTCCAGCAAAGGGGGTTACCTCAGTGATGGGGACTCCCCTGAGCTTATAACCAAATCAGGCAAACATGGTGGGGAGAACAGGTCTACAAAGGGAAAAGAGTCCCTTCCTTGTAATAATACAAAGTCTGACTTCGACATCGATGCCTTCAGGCACTATAGCTTTTCTGATCAACCCAAGTGCTTCCAGTATGTATCAGGGCTGATGAGCCTTCACTTTTATGGTGCAGAGGATTTAAAGCCTCCTAGGATAGACTCTAAAGATGTGTTTTGTGCTATCCAAGTAGATTCTGTCAACAAAGCCAGAACGGCTCTTCTGACTTGTAGGACGTCATTCCTAGACATGGATCACACCTTCAATATTGAACTTGAAAATGCCCAGCACTTAAAACTGGTTGTGTTTAGTTGGGACCCAACCCCAAAGAGGAACAGAGTCTGTTGCCATGGCACTGTGGTCCTGCCTGCACTTTTTAGGGTGACCAAAACCCACCAGCTGGCTGTTAAGTTGGAACCCCGTGGTTTGATCTACGTGAAACTGACTCTCATGGAGCAGTGGGAGAACTCTTCAGATCGCCTTGGTGTAGACCGTGACCCTGTGGTATTTGGGGTGGATGCTCGACAGGTTGTCGAAAAGGAGAACACGGGATCGATGGTCCCACTTCTCATGGAGAAGTGCATCATGGAGATTGAAAAGAGAGGCTGTCAGGTAAAGAGTGTTTTTTTTATTTCAGTTGGCTCAGTTTCTAGTGGAAGAGCTGTTCTTGTTTCTTGTCACACTGCCAATAATGTTTTAATGTGCATCAAGAATTGGAGAATCTATTTGGTTACTGAGCACATCAGGAGCACCTGTTCTTCAGATATTTAGGCGACATCTCTGCCAGTGGTTGTTGTCGTCATTGGTTTTCCCCTCTTCACCTTAATTTCCTGTGTCCAACAAATCACACTTGAAAACTTAGTGACCCCGCCACCACAGGTCACCTTTATTTAAAGCTGACCCTGTAAAAGATAACACGCCATACTTTTCCTACAGCCATTTGTTCAAACACCACCACTTTGCTTCACTCCTAGCTGCAGCAGATATTCGGGTGATCGGGTGGGTCGAACACCTGTTACCCAGACCACACATTGTGGTTTCTCCTGTTGGCTCGTAGTGATACATGAGCTGGTGAGAGCAGCCTGTGCTGTATGGCAGGGGAACAGATATTTAACAGACCCAGAAGTGTGGAACACCTGCTGCGGCCAGAAGAGAAACTGTGGCACTTCAACAAACTGGACGCTTGAAACGTAAGTATTGGTAAATAGGATCACTTCTTACTGGTAAATGAACCACTGGACATGCATTACATGCCAGTGTCTATATGTGTAATTATATATATATATAAAAATTATTATTATTATACAGTATTTATAAAGCGCCAATGGTTCGCTCAGCGCTGTACATTACAAAGGAGGACAGAACATGTGACAGAACAATACCAATACAATGCAAAACATGAGGGGATCGAGGGCCCTGCTCTTTCGAGCTTACAATTTAGGAGGGAAGGGATAGTGGTACAGGCCTGTATGGGGGGAGACATAAATGTCAAATATATGATGCAATACATTCCTGTGCCGGCACAAGTGGTTGGGGCCCATTCATCTGTAATATAAACAGCTGTATCCTAGAGCTCTTGAATGAAAAAATGCCCCATTTATTCCCAGGGTGGAAGAAAAGATGCAAAAAGCAGCACTCTGCTTGAAATGGTATCTTCACCACTATATGTGGACTACACACCACCTTTCGCAGGGAAAACAGGACATATCCCAAAAGATCTTCTGCCCGTTGAGATATATGTGGTATATCCTGTATCCTATACAAAGCACCATGATGTCCCCATCCTGTAGTGAGATAAATGATATGTGGGAAGTCACTGACAGAGTATACACTCAATAAGATATATAGGTCATATAGATCACAGAGGACCATATATCTAATGTCCTGTAACAGTCCACTCACCACCTGTGCTGTGGGTATTAGGAATGAAAGAAATGTCCTTCATGGGTACTGCCATACACGGCCACAGAGGCCTAGGAACCACCGCTGACATCCGCCGATATACCGCGGGTTCCAGCCCCTTCTTGGCGCTTGTGCTGCTCACACTTGCCTCATGGCATGTGAAGATGGCTTCCTCCTTATGGGTCAGCGTGCGTTCCACCTAATGTGCATGACCGGAAGTGACGTATCTGACGTATGACGTCAACGCGTTTCGCCGATGGGCGTATCTCACTCAGCTTCGTCAGGACCAATGGGATTGGGATTCACCATAATGGTATTGTTCTACATTTAATATTCAACATTATGGTATGCCTATGGTATAATTTTTTGGATACACCTCTTTTGGGAAGTGTTCACCTATGTGCCTGTGCTACAGGGACATTAGACTCTTGCAGTCATTTTTTCTGTTGCACATGCATTTAGACCGGTCTTGGTGTCATTTTATATGGTTTTAGGTCTGTGTGTATTGTCTCATACTGAGGTGATGGTAAACCAGGGCGAACGCCCATATGTCATATTTATATATGTGTAATAAAGCATAATTTTTGGAAATTTTTCTGAGTGTCACGTTCTGTTCATAATGTAGCCGCTTTCTCTGTGAATTTCTTTTCACAAACCCCCCTTTTTTTGAATGCCTCTTTTGGCTACTGAATGGAGACCAAATATTGGGTGACATGATAATTCATTTGACAACCTCTTAATAACTATCTTTAATACAGGTGGGGTAGGCTTCCCTGAAGAGATGGGTTTTCAGGGTGCGCCTAAAAGAGAGGAGAGTAGGTGATAATCTGATGGGTTGGGGCAGGGAGTTCCAGAGGATGGGTGACACCCTGGAGAAGTCTTGGAGGCGGGCATGGGAGGAGGAGACCAGGGAACTAGAGAGAAGGAGGTCTTGTGAGGAGCGGAGTGTGCGTGTTGGGCGGTACTTGGATATTAGGTCAGTGATGTAGTTCGGGGCAGTATGGTGGACGGCTTTGTACGTCAGTGTTAGGATTTTGAATTTGATCCGTTGCGCAATCGGAAGCCAGTGGAGGGATTGGCAGAGGGGGGTGGCGGAGACGGAGCGGTTGGAATGGTGAATGAGTCTGGCAGCCGTATTCAGGATCGACTGAAGCGGGGATAGCCAGCGGCAAGGCAGGTCAGTGAGGAGGGAGTTGCAGTAGTCGAGTCGTGATATGATGAGGGAGTGGATGAGCTACACACACCACCCACACATACACACTTTAGACAAAAAAAATGGAAACACTACATGATTTCCAGGTGTGAAAGTGACGACCTGTTTTGTGTTGAAAGCGGAAGTGATGTATCATTCTTTTGTTTCTGCTGTGTGATGAGACAGCTAGCTAACAGGTCATATCAGAGCTTACTGCACTTCAAAGTGCAAATTGTTGGTGCCCGCTTAGTTTGTGCCTCTGTGACTGAAGTTTGGCAATTTATTTGCTGTATTGTGAGGTACAGTATCAAAGGTTAAGATGGCATATACAGTTTCTGATAAAACGTCCTTTGATAAGCATAAGCGTGGTGGACATGGCCAACTGACCGAAAGAGACAAAAGGACATTGCGCTGGAATGTGACCTGGAATAAGAAAACAACTGCTGCACAAGTGACTGCAGAGCTCAGTCTCATTCCCGTGAAGACTGAGATTGAGCGCTCTGCAATCACCTTTGCAGCAATTGTTTTCTTATTCCGCTTCACCACGAAACATGTTGTCACTTTCACACCTGAAAATCATGTAGTTTTTTTTTTTGTTTTTTTTTGGCAAACCCCTATAATATATGAAATGCCTGAGACTGTTTAAAACAATGGTTTTACATTAGCGAGTGATGCTTAGATAATTATGTAAATGTATCAAGATTGGCATCGTAAAAAGTCGGTCTGCCTGTTAATTGTTTTGATCTTTTAAAGTGAAACTCTTTCCAAACATTTTTACTTAAAAGTGGAGCAGTGTTTTTTTTTGTTTAGTTTTTTTTTAACCTATTTATACTTTCCTAGGTGGTTGCAGCATCGATTCGGTACTGCATATGTCCCCCGCTGGCTCTAAGGGTGAGAACTCAGCAATCACATGACTGAGTTCTCCTCCTCTGAGCAGAGAGCGGGACTGTCAGTCACCACTCTCTGATCAGCTCCCCAGTGCTCCCTGGAGCGCTGGGCTGTGAAGGGGGAAGCAAGGGCTGGCTCAGGCTCTCAGCGGCTTGCTGAGAGGCTGAGCCAGCTGCCACTCCAGACTCGGGGGGTGAATCTCGACTTTAAAGTTGGGATCTTTCCCCATCCTGAGCCGGCTTAGCGAAAAAAAAAAAAAACCCGAATATCTCATAAATGATGCATGTTTACGAGATATTCTTTATTATAAGCTTACCTTAGATAAAAAGTAACCAAGTGGCTTTACAACCACTTTAATACCTCAGTCTGTCAAGATCTTCACTGTGTGGCCTCCACTGTCACCAAAATCCTTCCAGTTGGCTCGTGCAGCTCCCATGCATATGCAGGCTGTGTCCTGTGGAAGGTGTGTGCGTTTTCTATTGGAATGGATGGAGTCTGTGGTACAAGCCAGTGATATCCTCAGTGAAGCAGGGTTACAGTTACCTAGGTGTCTTTACAAAAATGCTGTGGGGGGCAAAGTGCACTTAGGGGTCAGTTCACTAAGAGTTAAATAATGACTGAAAAAAATCCGGCAAAATAACGCATGCAGTAAATTTTTTGCAAATGTGCAACTCACTAAGAATTTTGCGACAAATAACTTGCGTTTAAAATATGCGATAATTACCGCATATTTTCATGCAGTAATTTATCGCACGGTCGCATATTTTCATGCAGTAATTTATCACATGGTCGCATATTCATGCAGTAATTTATCGCGCGGTCGCACAGTAGCAGTACATTTTTTGCAAATGTGCAATTTACTAAGAAGTTTGCGGCAAATAACTTGCGGTAAAATATGCAGTAATTACCGCATATTTTCATGCAGTAATTTATCGCACGGTAGCTGGTTGTTAAGGAAGCCAGCCGCGGCGTCCTTAACAACAGATGACTTATCAGCTGTCAACGGGTGTCCCACTGACAGCGAAATGTACACAAAACATGCCAGCAATTACAAATAATGAAAAATACAGTGCGGGGCTCCCCCCATCCAATACGAGGCCGATAGGGAGCTGCATATGGGGGGGGGTAGAGAATATCAGGAGAGCAGTGTATATAGTGAGATACCGCTAAATGTCACTGCTGGTTTTTACATGTAATTACCGACTTTTTTTTTCCCTTCACTATAGCTCCAAGAATGAGCTGTCACTCTCTCCTCTGCTAAAGGAAACTAAGGGGCGGGGTCACTGGGTAATGTCACTTGGTGACCCCGCCCCTTAGTTTCCCTAAGAAAAAAAAAAGAAAATAAAAAGCTGATAATTGCATTTAAAGCCCGGCATTCTTTTTTAATGCAATTACCAGCTTTTTTTTTTCTTCTTCACTATAGCTGAGAATGAGCTGACATTCTCTCCACCGCACAGGGAAACTAAGGGGCGGGGTCACCCAGTGACATTACTGAGTGACCCCGCCCCTTACTTTCCTGACAGCTCATTCTTGGAGCTATAGCGAAGGGAATAAAAAGCCGGTAATTGCATTTAAAAGCCAGCAGTGACATAAGGGCAGCCAATGAGGGAGTCTGAGTGTATACACTGCT